CACTGCCACTGCCGCTGCTGCTGCCACTGCCACTGCCGCTGCTGCTGCCACTGCCACTGCCGCTGCTGCTGCCACTGCCACTGCCGCTGCTGCTGCCACTGCCACTGCCGCTGCTGCTGCCACTGCCACTGCCGCTGCTGCTGCCACTGCCACTGCCGCTGCTGCTGCCACTGCCACTGCCGCTGCTGCTGCCACTGCCACTGCCGCTGCTGCTGCCACTGCCACTGCCGCTGCTGCTGCCACTGCCACTGCCGCTGCTGCTGCCACTGCCACTGCCGCTGCTGCTGCCACTGCCACTGCCGCTGCTGCTGCCACTGCCACTGCCGCTGCTGCTGTCACTGCCACTGCCGCTGCCGCTGCTGCTGCCACTGCCGCTGCCGCTGCTGCTGCCACTGCCACTGCCGCTGCTGCTGCCACTGCCACTGCCGCTGCTGCTGCCACTGCCACTGCCGCTGCTGCTGCCACTGCCACTGCCGCTGCTGCTGCCACTGCCACTGCCGCTGCCGCTGCTGCTGCCACTGCCGCTGCCGCTGCTGCTGCCACTGCCACTGCCGCTGCTGCTGCCACTGCCACTGCCGCTGCTGCTGCCACTGCCACTGCCGCTGCTGCTGCCACTGCCACTGCCGCTGCTGCTGCCACTGCCACTGCCGCTGCTGCTGCCACTGCCACTGCCGCTGCTGCTGCCACTGCCACTGCCGCTGCTGCTGCCACTGCCACTGCCGCTGCTGCTGCCACTGCCACTGCCGCTGCTGCTGCCACTGCCACTGCCGCTGCTGCTGCCACTGCCACTGCCGCTGCTGCTGCCACTGCCACTGCCGCTGCTGCTGCCACTGCCACTGCCGCTGCTGCTGCCACTGCCACTGCCGCTGCTGCTGCCACTGCCACTGCCGCTGCTGCTGCCACTGCCACTGCCGCTGCTGCTGCCACTGCCACTGCCGCTGCTGCTGCCACTGCCACTGCCGCTGCTGCTGCCACTGCCACTGCCGCTGCTGCTGCCACTGCCACTGCCGCTGCTGCTGCCACTGCCACTGCCGCTGCTGCTGCCACTGCCACTGCCACTGCCGCTGCTGTGGCTAAGCCCAGCACGTTGAACCCTGACCTAAGCCCAGCACGTTGAACCCTGACCTAAGCCCAGCACGTTGAACCCTGACCTAAGCCCAGCACGTTGAACCCTGACCTAAGCCCAGCACGTTGAACCCTGACCTAAGCCCAGCACGTTGAACCCTGACCTAAGCCCAGCACGTTGAACCCTGACCTAAGCCCAGCACGTTGAACCCTGACCTAAGCCCAGCACGTTGAACCCTGACCTAAGCCCAGCCCAGTTGTGTATACACATACATACATGTGATGTGAGCGTGAACATATGGGCTTCTCGTGAACATATGGGCTTCTCGTGAACATATGGGCTTCTCGTGAACATATGGGCTTCTCGTGAACATATGGGCTTCTCGTGAACATATGGGCTTCTCGTGAACATATGGGCTTCTCGTGAACATATGGGCACACACATATTGAGAAGTGGTCATCTGATGCGAATGGGATGAACTGGTGTGGCTTGAAGGGCTAGAGTTGAAAGGTTTAAGGCTATCAGGTTGTGCTTGGGTTTTGGGCTTTCAGTGTCTGATGCTTGAAGTGTAGAGGTTTAACGGTTTCGAGTTTAGCATTCAGGAATGTGTTAAGTGCTTGATGTGAAAGCAAGCAAGCACACAGGTGTGATGTGTGGACCTACATGGCCAATGGGGAAGGGCCACGTGTCCACTGGTCCTTGCTTCAGCTGCCGGATACTGTCATAATGGATCATGACGTTGACTCCGTCCACCTGTGAGGGTGTGACACGTGGCACACACAGGAGACAGGGGATAAAGAAAGGGGCACATGAGGCACGGCACAGATGAGGGAAAGGGGGAATGAGGAGAGGGGCGGATGAGGAAACGAGATAAGGAAAAACAAAGAGAAAAAATAGAGATAAAGTCTTGTCTGATACGGGTATCAGCAATTTCCTGTTAGCATTAGAGCATGGAAAAACATAGAAGCGCGTAGTACAGAGCATTTGAGTCGACTCAAAAGAAAACATAGAAGTGCGTTGTACAGAGCACACACCCGATGTCAAGACCACGCATAAGAACTGCCTCTGCTTTCACACTTCTGCTCGCGAAGACGCCTAGACCACACCACTGTGGGCGACAAATATGCATATGCGCTCATACATATAAATATAACAACAAATACCTGGACGGTCATGTTCATGTCTCCAATGTGCACCACCGTGGACGTTACAACATCTATGCTTACATGCACATACATAATAAGAAAAAACCATGATTTGCGAGGTAGAGAATACCTGAACGGTCATGTTCATGTCTCCAATGTACACCACTGTGGACGTTACAACATCCCCAGCTTCCAGCCGGTGCTGATGTGGCCATGCCATGCCATGCCATGCACGTGATGCCATGCACGTGATGCCATGCACGTGATGCCATGCCATGCAGCCATGCGGTGAAGCCATGCCATGCAGTCATGCACATGCACAAATGGAAGCGAGAAGGCAGGGGCACAGCAACACACATACATGCATACACGAGTGGTTGAAGAGACTAAGTGAGTAACGTGGAAGGAGATGCGAGGGAGAGACGTGCCTTTTAAACGAACCAAACCCAATACTGACTGTTAAATTCAGCAAATATTTGTCGCCTCTGATTAACCCATTGCAAGAAGCAGACGTTTCAGAAGTGACAGTGAGAGGGGAGCAAGGAAGTAAGTACGAGCCAGGGAAAGTGAATAGCTCACACTGGCTCCACTGGCTCCACTGGCTCACACTGGCTCACACTGGCTCCACTGGCTCCACTGGCTCCACTGGCTCCACTGGCTCACACTGGCTCACACTGGCTCCACTGGCTCCACTGGCTCCACTGGCTCACACTGGCTCCACTGGCTCCACTGGCTCCACTGGCTCCACTGGCTCCACTGGCTCCACTGGCTCCACTGGCTCACACTGGCTCCACTGGCTCCACTGGCTCACACTGGCTCCACTGGCTCCACTGGCTCCACTGGCTCACACTGGCTCACACTGGCTCCACTGGCTCCACTGGCTCCACTGGCTCCACTGGCTCACACTGGCTCCACTGGCTCACACTGGCTCCACTGGCTCACACTGGCTCCACTGGCTCACACTGGCTCCCACTGGCTCACACTGGCTCCACTGGCTCCACTGGCTCCACTGGCTCCCACTGGCTTATAGCATTTCAATGACCAAATCTGCCTCATTGGAATGCGGCGAATTTCTAGTCAGCTTGTTGCATCTGAGCATTCCTTCTGATTTCTAACAGAAATCACAGTGACCCACCTGCACCTGCTCCCTCCCTCCGCTCCACCCTCTCCTGCTCCTCCAGATCCGCTCCCCTTTGTGTCACAAGGGTGCTTCTACTGTGCTCCCTCCCAATTCCAACGACCTGCACGCACTTGATTGAAGAAGTGTTTTGAGACGCCTCAAAACACCTCCTGCAGTTCAGGAACCCACCTGCAGCTGTTCCCTTCTCTCCACCCTCTCCTCGTCCTCCAGATCCGCCCCCCTTTGTGTCACAAAGACAGAGCGCGTCTTCGAGTCACACCTTTCAACTCTCACTCGCACCTCCTGTAAGGAGATAGGGAGAGGAGAGGGAGGGAGATGGAGGGAAGAGAGGAGGATGGAAACAGGAGGAGGGGAATAATGATCATTTCCAAAAAAAGAGGGCAATTTCCCCCACATAGGACAAGAAGAGGGCAAGTCTCACCTCCCCCACATAGGACAAGAAGAGGGCAAGTCTCACCTCCCCCACATAGGACGAGAAGAGGGCAAGTCTCACCTCCCCCACATAGGACAAGAAGAGGGCAAGTCTCACCTCCCCCACATAGGACAAGAAGAGGGCAAGTCTCACCTCCCCCACATAGGAAGAAGAGGGCAAGTCTCACCTCCCCCACATAGGACAAGAAGAGGGCAAGTCTCACCTCCCCCACATAGGACAAGAAGAGGGAAAGTCTCACCTCCCCCACATAGGACGAGAAGAGAGCGAGTTTCTCCTGAGTGTACTGCTCACTCAGCTGAACCCTCAAGGTCTCCACACCCTCCCCTCCAACTGCCCGCTCTTCTCCCTCTCCCCCCTCTCCTTCCATTCTCCCCTCTTCTCCCCCCTCTTCCTTCTCTTCCCCCTTTTTCCCTTCTTTCCCCTTGTTCCATGCCTTCCATTTCTCCCCTCCCCTGCCTCCCCCCTCCCCCCCACCACTCTCCTCCCGCGCCCCAAACAGGTTCGGGTCGTGCCCGTTGGCTCGGAGCCAGCCTCGGAAGCTCCACCGGCGGAGCTCCGGGTGCATGTAGCTGGCTGGGAGGAAGGCTTGTACGCCGTTGAGTGAAAGCTGGGAAATGGAGAACGGGGAAAAAGGAGGACAGATATAGAGAGGGGGGATTTATTCAAAATGTGAGGCTTGGTCTGAAGCTCCATCGGTGCAGCTCCAGGTGCATGTAGCTGGCAGGGAGGCAGGCTTGCACTCCGTTGAGGGAGAGCTGGAGGAATGGGGGGGAGAGAGCGGAGGGGAGAAAGGGAGGAAGAGGAGAGTGGGAGGTTGGGATTGAGGCTAGGTTTGAAGCTACATCGGCGCAGCTCCGTGTGCATGTAGCTAGTTAGTTGGGAGCAGGGCTTGCATGCCGTTGAGTGAGAGCTGAAGATGGGAGAGAGGAGGGGGGGGTGGGCGGGAGAATGGGAGGGAGAAGGTGGGCGGGTGATTGGGAGAGAGACGCAAGGGTTGAAGCAAGGGTGGAAGCAAGGCTGACAGGAAAGCAGGCTGACAGGCAAGCAGGCAGCGGGCAAACAGGCAGCGGGCAAGCAGGCAGCAGGCTAGCAGGCAGCGGGCTAGCAGGCAGCGGGCTAGCAGGCAGCGGGCTAGCAGGCAGCGGGCTAGCAGGCAGCGGGCTAGCAGGCAGCGGGCTAGCAGGCAGCGGGCTAGCAGCTTACCACAAGGCCGCCATGGTTGCAGGTGACAACCTTGGCCATGACTGTTGTGCGCTCGCTCCCTCACTGCCTGAAGCAAGGTCTGGAACTAGGCCTGCAGCGAGACTCACAACAAAGCAGGCAGGCAAGCAGGCAGGCAAGCAGGCGGGCAAGCAGGCGGGCAAGCAGGCGGGCAAGCAGGCGGGCAAGCAGGCGGGCAAGCAGGCGGGCAAGCAGGCGGGCAAGCAGGCAGGCAAGCAGGCGGGCAAGCAGGCGGGCAAGCAGGCAGGCAAGCAGGCGGGCAAGCAGGCGGGCAAGCAGGCGGGCAAGCAGGCGGGCAAGCAGGCGGGCAAGCAGGCGGGCAAGCAGGCGGGCAAGCAGGCGGGCAAGCAGGCGGGCAAGCAGGCGGGCAAGCAGGCGGGCAAGCAGGCGGGCAAGCAGGCAGGCAAGCAGGCGGGCAAGCAGGCGGGCAAGCAGGCAGGCAAGCAGGCGGGCAAGCAGGCGGGCAAGCAGGCGGGCAAGCAGGCGGGCAAGCAGGCGGGCAAGCAGGCGGGCAAGCAGGCGGGCAAGCAGCTTACCACGAGGCCGCCGTGGTTGCAGGTGACGACCTTGGCTGGCACTGTTGTGCGCTCCTTCTCTGCCTGCTGAATCACCTTCTCCTCCTGCCATGTGCCATGTGGCACAGACATGAACATGAACATGATTTTGAAAGGTGAGTATGGATTGGACGCAGACATGAATGGTGGGTGTTTTTTTTTTTTTTTTTTTTTTTTTTTTTTTTTTTTTTTTTTTGTGTACGCACAACTATTTGGGGAATGCAGAATTATTTGGTGAACGGAGTGGAATGATGAAGGGGTAGAAGAGAAGAAATAATAAAAATGAGGGGTAAAGGCAATGACCAACACAATTCAAAAGGGTAGAAGTGCATCTTACCTCAGGAGAAGTATTGAGGCCCCACAGTTTAATGCCCTTTAGCAGATCATCACTGCTATGGGAATCAGCAGCACTTAGTGAAGTGGTATCAGCAGCAGCACCATCAGCAGCGGAAGAGGCAGTTGCAGTGGTGGGAGCAGCAGCAGCAGGAGCAGCAGAAGGAGGAGCAGGCGCAGCGGGAGCAGCAGGAGCAGAAGCGGCATCAGCAAAGACAGGAACAGCTACAGCACCAGGAGGCGGGGCGGGGGCAGGCGAGGAGAGGAAAGGGCGTGGTTTGGGGGGGAGGGGCGGGCGGGGGGAGTCGGGGCGGGTGCGGCGCAGGGCGACAGGTGGAGGGGTGACGACGGGGGGAAGGCCCTTGGGGATAGGCGTCACAGCCTGAGGGGTGCTGGTGTTCAGAGGCTTGGAAGGCCTGCAGTGGGGGAGAGAACAGGGGTGAGTGACTGAGAGACTGGTAGGTCGACAGGTGGCGGGGTGACGACGGGGGGAAGGCCCTTGGGGATAGACGTCACAGCCTGGGGGTTGCTGGTGTTCAGAAGCTTGGAAGGCCTGGAGAGTGGGGAAAAACGGGGTGGGAGAGTAGGGAGGGGAGGGGCTGGCAGGTCAACAGGTGGCGGGGTGACGATAGGGGGAAGGCCCTTGGGGATAGGCGTCACAGCTTGGGGGTTGCTGGTGGTCCCAGGCTTGGAAGGCGTGGAGAGTGGGGAAAAACGGGTCAACAGGTGGAGGGGTGACGGGGATAGGCGACACAGCCTGGGGGTTGCTGGTGGTCCCTGGCTTGGAAGGCCTGCAGTGGTGGAAAGAACAGGGTTTGGGGGGGAAGGGCGGGCGAGAGAAATCAGGATGGGTGCGGCGCAGGTCGACAGGTGGAGGGGTGACGACGGGGGGAAGGCCCTTGGGGATAGGCGACACCGCCCGGGGGTTGCTGGTTGTCCCAGGCTTGGGGGAGCTGGAGTTGGGAAAAACGGGGTGGGAGGGCAGAGGAAAAAAGGACGGGCAGGTTGACAGGTGGAGGGGTGACGACGGGCGGAAGGCCCCTGAGGATAGGGGTCACAGCCTGAGGGTTGCTGGTTTCCGAAGACTTGGGAGGGCTGGAGAGGGGGAAAGAACGGGGGTGGGAAGGGAGGGGAGGGTCCGATTGAGACACTGACTGGTCAACAGGTGGAGGGGTGACAAGGACAGGCGGAAGGCCGTTGGGGATAGGCGTCACAGCTTGGGGGTTGCTGGTGGTCCCAGGCTTGGGGGAGCTGCAGTGGGGGAAAGAATGGGGGTGGGAAGGCGGGGGAGGGGGGGAGGGGTGTCGGATTACGACTGACAAATCCAGGTGGAGAGGGGAGACGACGGAGAGAAGACAGATGGGGTGACGAGACGTCTCAAAAAAAAAAAAGCCAGAGGAGGACAGGTGGTTTAAGGAGGCCTTGGTGCATTCTGGCACGATTTTTGAGGCGCCGCAACACCACCTGTCCTCTTCTGTCCTCTTCTGACAAGAGTTTCACGGAGGCCTTGCCTTGGTGCATTCTGGCACTCGGAGAACTTGGGAGGGAAGTGGGGGTGTGCGGGTGGAGAGAGGCCGGGGGAGGGGAGGGGAGGGGGGGGGAGGGGCTGTGCGTACCGTTTCTCTGCAACCTCTAAAGGTTCAACGTCTGCAGCAGCCAATGGATCCCCACGTGGCAGCAGCTGTTTTTAAAAGTCAACCTCTAAAGGTTCAACGTCTGCAGCAGCCAATGGATCCCCACGTGGCAGCAGCTGTTTTTAAAAGTCAACCTCTAAAGGTTCAACGTCTGCAGCAGCCACAGCAGCGGCAGTAGCGGTGGCGGCAGCAGGTGCAGGCATCGACTGCAGCAGTGCTGCCTGCCTCCTCTCCCTCGCCTCTTCCCGCCTCACTGCCTCAGCGGCGGCAGCAAGGTGATTGGGGGGGCTGTGCTGTGATGTGCTTACCTTTTCTCTAGAACCTCTTCGGATTCAGTTTCAGCAGCAGCGGCAGCAGCGGCAGTAGCGGTGGCGGCAGCAGGTGCAGGCATCGACTGCAGCAATGCTGCTTGCCTCCTCTCCCTCGCCTCTTCCCGCCGCACTGCCTCCTGCACCGTGGCAGACCATTCCCCTGCTGCCGGATCTTCACTATCACCAGCAACGCTGGCAGCAATGTTGGCAGCAACGTTGGCAGCAACGTTGGCAGCAGCAGCAGCGTTTTGTGGGCGTGCAGGGGCCTTCGTTACAGTCACTTTCTTCACTTCCGCCTTTTGCACTGGGCCCACCGTCTCTCCTTCACCCTCTCCTTTCGCTGCTCCTCCTCCTCCTGCTCCTGCTCCTGCTACCGCTCCTGCTGCTTCTGCTGCTCCTGCTGCTTCTGCTTCTCCTGCTGCTGCAATCTCTTTTCCAGCGCCCTCGCTGGTCCTTTGACCCGCATCAACAATCCCAATAACCTTCCCCCCCCCTGGTCTCTGCAACGCTGGCAAGACTTGCTCTCTCTCCTTCTCTTTCTTCTTCGTCTTCCCATCCATCGTCTCCCCCTCCACCCTGCTGGCCTCGTCAGCGCTCACAGCCTCCCCTGAACCCCCCACTGGTCTCTGTAAAGCCGGCAGGACTTGCTCCCTCTCCTCCTCTTTCGCCATTTCCCTCGTCTTCCCATCCATTGTCTCCCCTGTCTTGCCCTTGTCAGGCACCCTGCTGGCCTCTTCAGCGCTCACAGCCTCCCCTGAACCCACAGGTCTCTGTAACGCCGGCAGGACGACTTCCCTTTCGTCCTTGTTCTTCTCTGCAGGTCGTTCCCCCTCCACGCCCTTCTCAGCCACCACTGTGCTGCTCGCCTCTACCGCGTGCACGGACCCTGCAGGCCTCTGCAACACGGGCATCACCCCTTCCCTCTGCGCTTTCTCCTCCTTCTTCTGCTTCATCTCCCCCTCCACGCCGCTGCTCGCCTCTACCGCGTGCATGGACCCTGCAGGCCTCTGCAACACGGGCATCACCCCTTCCCTCTGCGCTTTCTCCTCCTTCTTCTGCTTCATCTCCCCCTCCACGCCGCTGCTCGCCTCTACCGCGTGCACGGACCCTGCAGGCCTCTGCAACACGGGCATCACCCCTTCCCTCTCCTCTTCCCTCTCCTCTTTCCTCTCCTCTTTCTCCTTATTCCCCTTCTTCCCCTTCTTCGCCTTTCCTCCCATCGTCTCCCCTTGCACGCCCTTGTCAGAAGAGACCTTGCTCGCCTCTGCAGCATTATCAAACCGCCCAGACCCCGCTGGCCTCTGTAACGACGGCAAAACTTCCTCCCTCTCCTGCACCTTCTCCTTCACTTTCACGCCCTTATCAGACTCCCCGCTTGCCTCTACCACACTTACAAACCGCCCAGACCCGACTGGCCTCTGTAACGCCGGCAAAACTTCCTTCCTTTCCTCCTCCAACTTCTTCTTCGTCTGCCCCTCTCTCTCTTTCTCCCCTTCCTTCTCCGCATCCTTCCCCTGCGCCGTTTCCTCCCCTACACCTTTCACCTGTTCACCTGCCTTAGCGCCTGCTGCCCCTGCCAGTATTGGTCGTCTGGGTGGTGGGGTCAATGCTGCTGCTGGTGCTGTTGTTGATAATTCTGATGCCGATGCTGATGCTTCTACTCTTCCCCCATCTCCCTTCCTCTGCACTTTAACTGGTTCTATGATTGCAACCACCCCTCTGAATTCAGGGGGAAGTGTGTCTTTAACCCCACCCTCGCCATACATCTGGGACGGCCGTACTGCCCGAATCACAACCGGGACAGCAGCAGGGCGGGTGCCTTTGTCCGTTTGTGAAGTTCCACCGGGGGAAGCGGCGAGGGATTGGGCGGCGGCTCGCGCTGGGTGGCTGGGCGGCGCAACAAGGGGCGGGGCGGGACTCTTCGGCTTCTCAGGGCGGGTTACAGTTCCAGCGTCAGAAGATGAAACGGCAGATGTAACGGCGGAACTACCAGCTCCACCGACAGATGTTCCACCACCGGGAGACGAAACCACTCCGGAGGAAGCTTCACCATTGCTTCCTCCCCTGGTGCCTGCCGCCCGTGCCGCCCGGGCCTGCATGCGCGCGCGCTCCATGTCCTCCACCTCCGCCCACAGCTGCTCCACTAGCTGCCGAACGTCGCCGCCCATGCGCTTCACGCGCTGCTGAACGCGCTCCCCCGCGGACAGCTGGTTGAGGTCCGGGTACAGGCGCATGAGCAGGAGCTGGGGGGGCCAAGGGGGGGGAAGTGGGTGGGCGGAAGAAGTGGGGGGCGCGCGGCGGTAAAAGGGGGGATGGATGAGGTCCGGATAAAAGCGCACGAGCAGGAGCTGGGGATGGGCGGGGGGGACGGGAAGGGGGAGGGTATGGATGATGGCGGAAGAAAAGGTGCTGTTTTGTATGGTCCCGCACCCGCGGACAGCTGGTTGAAGTCCGAGTAAAGGTGCATGAGGAGGAGCTGGGGGAGAGGGGGGGGGGGGGAGGGAGAGGGTGTGGGAGGTGGGAAATGTAGGGGAAGAGGGGGAAGGATTGGGCAATAAATGACAGGGGTATTGCGAACGGGGTTCGGGGTTTTAGCGGGACACTTCCTGCCATGTCCCTGCGTGTTCGAAAGCACGCATGGCTTGGTTTTTCCCCTCGCATACACCACCCTTAGCCGCTGACAACCCACCTGCGACTCGGTTGCACAACCCACCTGCGCCTCGGTTTTCTCCATGTCATCGCCCATCTGGCTCGCAAACGACAGCGCGAATCGCTCCGACGGTTCCCATCGCCGCCGCCATTCCCCCGCCGACCCGTCCGCCGGCGGCTGCGGCGCGCCGTCTGCTGCCGCCCGCGCGGAATTCACGCGAGTCGTCCGTCTGCCTCGCGCTGCCGACGACTCTTTTGCAGGAAGGGACACGTGGCGTCCGCCAATTGCTTCGCGAAGCAACGGCCGGCCGAAGAATGCTGCCCGCGGAACGAGCGACGGAGCGCCATTGATCCGGCGCGGATTAACTAACGAGGGCCGATTAAGGAGCAAGGTCGGACTGGGGAGGCTGGAGATCATAACGGAGGAAGCGCGATTTTTTAGTAAGTCGAGCGCGGTTCCGGAATGTAGGCATCGGGAGGTTGCCGAGGCGCGTTCTAGATTGACGGAAGGAGACATTGACGCGGGCTTTGCGGAAAGACGCTGTCGGCGAAAAAGACGCTGCCACCGGAAAAAGCTAGGACGACCCTGTCGGACGCTGTCAGACGCGCTATCAGATGCTGTCGGAGCTGACAAGAGGATACGAAGGTCACAGCCTTATTCTGGCGACATCAGCTCTCCAGATTGTACCTGCGCGTCGCGACTACCTACAACCAAGTTATTTGCTCCTCGAGGGACGACCCGAATGGGCTGCTATTTCATGTGGAGCGCAAGTACTCGACAGTAGCAGCTCCGGAATTTATCAGTTGAGTTACTCGATAATCCAGGTGATTCGTCCTGCCACGTTTCCCCTACCTCTAAGATAGTCCACGTCAGGCAGGTGTCTGATGTGGTGCTGGCTGTCCATTTGTGGGGGTCCATCCACGATGGCAAAATCGAACATTCGTAAATACATGATACAGTTACACTCATCTCTGTAAGTAAAATTTCTCTGACATGGTTTATTGCAGTTATTTTTGTAATAGCTGGCATCCTGTTACTGGCGTGTTGGTCCGTCGCTGGCAAAGCTGTCAACCCCAGCAAAGCCATCCTGATTGGAGGTTCCTTCCACCTCACATCGAGCCCCACATTCTTCGTTACACACGACGCGTGGCGAGCTTCGCATGCCATGCTTCGGGGGGTTGCGAGGTGCATATTTGCGTGCGCAGCTGGGCCAAAAATCGCGTCGCGCTGTGAGATACAGAAACGAATCAGCAAACGAGACGCGGCACGGCGGGGAGAGGCCTTTCCCCTCACCTCCCATGTTCCCCAAGCGCGACAACGCCCTTTCCCCTTTTTCCTCCAACCTGACCCTCACTTCCCCCTTCCTCTAATCCGCGCCAGGTTGCGTCCCCCTTCCACTTTTCTCCGACAATGCGGTGCGCGCAGGCATCCCCCCCCACTTCTTCCGCAGCAACCCCTTCCTACCGCCCACTCAACTCGCTCCGACTTCAGCCCCCCAACGCAGTTCGGAGCATTTCGTTTTAGGCAAGCTTCAAATACCACCAGCATCCCGAAATACAAGGCGCCATTCTCAATCTTGAATTGTGACTGGGTCGTACTCACCACTTCGACCTAAGCAAAACAGTGTTACTGTATGCCGAAGCGCACGACCGTCACTAGCGCCGGCTTATACCTATCAGCTTATTTCTAGCTTCGTCACATATCTTCTTTTTATATTAATTGCAATACATCTTGTAGTTTATTGTATATATTCTTTTGTAGTTAGAACGTGACCGCCAGCATGGAGAAGATGTTCGGCCTGCTCCAGGTGGACCAATCAACGGTGGCCATGGTGGAACATTTTGGCCGGTTCGTGAAGGCGCTCGACCCGGGCTGCCACTGCGTGCCGTGGTGCTGCTGCTACCGGCCCGCGGGTCTCATGAGCCTGCGCGTGCGCCAACTCGACGTGCGCTGCGAAACCAAAACCAAGGTGAGGCTGGTAACCGTTGTGCTTCGGTGATTTCGAGAGAGGGGAGGTTGGGGGAAGGGGAAGAGGGCTGCCACTGCGCGCGGGGGGCTGCTGCTACCGCCCCGCGGGGCTCATGAGCCTGCGCGTGCGCCAACTCGACGTGCGCTGCGAAACCAAAACCAAGGTATTGCTAGTACTACCGATGTGCTTCGGTGTTTACGGGAGAGGGTAAGTTGAGGGAAGGGGAAGAGGGCTGTCACTGCGTGCCGTGGTGCTACTGCTACCACCACGCGGAGCTCATGTCAGGAGCCTCCGCGTGCGCCAACTCGACGCGCGCTGCGAAACCAAAACCAAGGTGAGGCTGGTAACCGTGCTACGGTGCTTTCGAGAGAGGGGAGGTCGGCGAAAGGGGATGAAGGCTGCCACTGCGAAGCGAAATCTTAACCTTGCCTCATGAGCTCGCGGCACGGTGCTGCGTGCCGCAAGCTCATGAGGCAAGGTTCAAGGTGTCGCTTCGAGTTTTTTACACCACCAATCATGGCAAGGAACGACGCCACCGCCAGTCACAAATACTTTTAAAACTCAGCTCTAAACATCGTGGTGCCATAGTTGTGTCCCCTCAGCAGTGCTGCCGTTTCGTCATATCATCTTCATTCACCCGTTCCCCGCTTCAGGGCAACGTGTTCGTCACTGTAGTCGCGTCGATACAGTACCAGGCGATTTGCGAGCAGATTGACGACGAGTTTTACAAGCTCAGGACCCTCACCACTCTTCGCCTTTTCTTTGTATCCCCGTTTTTGGCTTTTCCGCTTCAGGACAACGTGTTCGTCACTGTGGTCGCATCGATACAGTACCAGGCGATTCGCGAGCAGATCGAGGACGCCTTTTACAAGCTGCAGGATCCCCAGGCGCAGATTCGATCATACGTCTTCGACGGTGAGTGCTGCAGCGTTCGCGATCTACTGTGGCTGATGCATCTGAAAATTTGCGATTATGATGTACTTCTTGTCAATGTTTTAGTCATCGGAGTTTGCTTTCGCACCGTGTTTTTAAATCGCTATTTTCTGTTCACCCCTTCACCTACACCCCGCAGTGGTGCGCGCGAGCGTGCCCAAAATGGATCTGGACCGTGTGTTTGAGATGAAGAACGAGATTGCTCATCCTTCCCCTCCAGTCCAATTCCCCTTTCCCCTTTCCCCCCCTCCTGTTGCTCCCCTCTCAGTGGTGCGCGCCAGTGAGCCCAAGATGGATCTGGACCGTGTGTTTGAGATGAAAAACGAGATCTTTCATTCTTCTCCTCTCCTCCAATTCCCGCTTTCCCCGTTCCTTTCCGCCCTCTCCTTGCTCTTCCCCGCAGTGGTGCGCGCCAGTGTGCCCAAGATGGATCTGGACCGTGTGTTTGAGGTGAAGAACGAGATCGCGCACACAGTGGAGGAGGAGCTTGAGAAGGTGAGGGGAAGGTGGGGTTGGGGAGAGGGGGTGTAACGCCTGTGGGCTGTGTTAAGGGCACTCCGCTGCGCCAACTAACACCCTCGTTTTGACCCAGTGGGTAGCGAGGTGTTATACTGGAATCAGAGCCTAGGGTTCGAAATCCGGCTGGACCACATTTTCCGCCTTTGGCGAGAACCGAATTGTGGTTGTAACCAGCTCGAACCCGACGAACGATCCAGGGAGGTCCTTGCGGAGGGGCCGACTCTTTGAAGTTGAGGGCCAACGGGGACGTTGGCAACCAGGGGGGGACAAGTGTAACGCCTGTGGGCTGTGTTAAGGGCACTCCGCTGCGCCAACTAACACCCTTGTTCTGACCCAGTGGGTAGCGAGGTGTTATAGGGGGGGAAGGGGGGGACGCAGCGGAAGGGGGGAGGGCATCGGAGGTGCGTGCAAGCGTACTGCAGAGTACCGTGTGTTCGAGGTGAAAGAACGAGATTGCTCATACGGTGGAGAGGAGCTTGACAAGGTGAGTGGGGGAGTGAGGGTGGGGAGGGGAGGGAGCAGAACAGGGGAGGGGGAGAGGGAGAGGTGCACGTGAGCGTGCCCAAGATGGATTTTGACCGTGTGTTTGAGGTGAAGAACGAGATCGCTCATGCAGTGGTGACTTTTGAGTCGACTCAAAAGTCACCTCGAGATCGCTCATGCAGTGGACTGGAGTGGGGTGGAGGAGGAGCTCGAGAAGGTGAGGGGAAGAATGAAACCACTCATCTATGTGCGTCACTTGCTCTTGGAGTTGAGAATGAACGCGTTTGAATCGAACTGTGTGTGCATGGAAGTCGTGAAACACGCTGTCTTTTCTCTCTCATGCGCATTTTCTCCTCTTCGTAATACCACGGTTGTAACGAGCAGGCGATGAGGACGTACGGTTACCGCATCGTGCAGACGTTGATAGTGGATGTGGAGCCGGACCATCGAGTGAAGGCCGCCATGAACGAGATTAACGCAGGTGAGAGTGTAGGTGATAACGTATGTGGCAAAATGTGAATGTGGATTTGTGAATGTGCAGAACCTGATAGTGGATGTGGAGCCGGACCGGACCATCGAGTGAAGGCTGCCATGAACGAGATTAATGCCGGTGAGAGTGTTGGTATTGTATGTGGCAAATGTGAATTTGCATGTGAAGCCGTGACATACGTGAATGTGCAAACGCTGATAGTGGATGTGGCGCCGAACAACCGGGTCAAGGCCACCATGAATGAGATTATTGCCGGCAAGAGTGTCGATGATTTTCACATTTGTTTGCATACCTGTGTAAAAGTCATCTACTTTAATGAGGATGTGCATGTAGTGCAGACATTAATAGTGGGTTGTGGAGCTTACCGTTGAGTGAATGGCAAAAATAAGGGTGGACTTTCACATTTGTAGATTAGCATAAGAGTGTAGCGATATGTGTACAGTCAACCTATCTCCTTCTGCTGTTGCGTTACATTACTCACTCGCACACCATATTCCCCAATCCCCTCTGCAGCCCAGCGCATACGCATGGCCACACAGGAGAAGGCAGAAGCAGAGAAAATTCTGCAGGTAATGCGATTTCTAGCGATGCAATATCGCATCGCTCCTTGATGCACTTCAGAAGGCAATATTTTACTGCATCGCAGTATGTATCCGCCTACTTTCTTTCTTCCACCCGTTGCCGAGTTTTGGGTCGACTCAA